TGGTACAGTCATTGCTGTAAGGATTGGAAGTGACAAAATGAGAGGCTTCCCTGGGGTAGTCAACAGCAAGACCATTGTTGGGGACATCCTCTATCACTAGCACTTCCTTTGAATCTACAGTAGTTGTGATCATAGTGCTACCATTAGCAACTGTCACCTCAGGCTGTGTAGGGACATGATTCCCTGGACATATGTTTTCCAGCTCAATGTTTGCAGAATTTGCAGTGGTGTTTGTTTTTTGAGCAGCACCACTTGGTGAATGGACTGGTTCAGAAGACAGGTTGGTCTTGGGTCCCAAATCACATGGAGGTATCTTGAGAATAGGTTCCTTGCTCAAGAGAGGTTGCCCCTTTATCTCTTTGTTCTTGTATGTTTCTGATGAAAGAGAATCTTGTTGTTTACTCTCCTTCTCATTGCATTTTCCGGTGAGGTGGCCTGACTTCCTACAGAAACAGCAGTAATCTGGGATGTTTTCGTAAGAAATATCTTGGAAGAAGTCCATCCCACCATTATCAATCCAAATTTTCTTAGGAAGCTCTTTGGATATATCAAGTTCAACACAGAACCTGGCTACTGAGGGCCTTGTTTTTGCAGATGTGGAAGCATCCATCATCAACAGATTGCCAATTGACCTTGCTATACAGTGAAGGGCCTTGGCCTCTTGAAGATGGATTGGCAAGTGAGTTAGGGACACCCAAACTGGAAAGATGGGATTTTCGTGGTCAGGATGGAAGTTAGGACTCCATTTTGACACAACCATCTCAGCTCCATTGATTTTCCAAATGCGTCTCTTAAAGCATTGTTGGTACTCCGATGGGCACCGGAAATTGAGAAGAATAAGGGAGGGTGCTAAGAGACCAACAGAAAACCCTGGTTTGAATCCAATTTTTTCGAAGCATTTTTTGATTACCTCCAAAGGAGGTCTGGATTTGGTGAATCTCCCAATTAACGCGAATTGATATGGGACAGAGAAGGAGATTACCTCTTCAACGGAGAAGGACACAGCCGGGAAGCCTTTGTAACGTCCGATTTGCTTCTGTTCCTGATGGATTTGGGATGAGCCCAGAACATCGGCGAAGCTTTTCTTGATGTTCGTTCGTAGGTGCTGATTTGGCTCTTGAATCTCGCCAATCGTGGAAGTCATAGCTCAGGAGAAAGGGATCGACAGTGAGCACCGCTAGCAGAGCCATCGCAGAGCTGAACGGAGAGAAAAGGGGAATCTAGTGAGAGAAAGAGCCATCAGTATATTGAGCTAT